GCTTTCTTCACCAGCGCATGAGGACACTACTAACCAGCCGCAGCAGCAGTCAGCATCAGTGGAACTGGAGCAGGACCCACAAACAACAGGCTTATGCCTAACTTGGACAGCCACCCTGCCAACCGAGGTGAGACAATCCCCTTGACTACAGGACAACAGAAAACTATCGACCTTTTGGCCCCAACTTAGCTGAATTTGCCACTTGAAAGGCTGTCATGGCCCGGCCCAGTACGTGGCATCGGGAGCGCGTGTTTAGATGAGCCAGGAGGTATTGCAACTCCGCGATGGACACGACTGTCCACCCAAAGTGTGGAGAGACTCACTAGTTTGTGAAAATGAATCAGGCGTGGATTAGTCTGGATTTCAAACCACCAGTATTCCTGACACAACTGACTAAATCCGCCATGAATCATGCGCCCCAAACATGTGCCTACTTTTCAGGTCTCCTCACCACTGCTGGTGTGTTTCCATTTTTTGTCATAGGGTGTGCTGGCAGATTACGGGCCTCCCATAGCTGCTGCCAGCCCCTAAATCTGCCATGGGCCCCTATTACCGCCTCCTCATGCTGCTGCCAAGTCCAGAGTCTCATCATGGGTCCCTGTACGGCCTCCCATTGCTGCTGTCTCCATCGCCACACTCTGCCATGTGCCACTTTCAGGTCTCCTCACACTGCTTACGGTGTGTTTCCATTTTTTGACATAAGGGTGCTGGCAGATTACGGGCCTCCCATAGCTGCTGCCAGGCCCCTAATCTGCCATGGGGCCCCCTATACCGCCTCCCTCATGCTGCTGCCAGGTCCAGAGTCTCTCATGGGTCCCTGTACGGGCCTCCCCATTGCTGCTGTCTCCATCGCCACACCTCTGCCATTGTGGCCACTTTCAGGTCTCCTCACACTGCTGGTGGTTCCATTTTTTGTCATAGGTGTGCTGGCATATTACGGGCCTCCCATAGCGCCTGCTGCCAGGCCCCTAATCTGCCATGGGCCCCCCCAACCGACTCCCCATGCTGCTCCAGGAGGCCCGTAACTGTCATGGGCCCCTGTTGTCGCTTGTTGGCATATTCCGCTCGTTCAGATGCTCCTCTCCTGCTACTCCTCTTCACGGATTCCGTCCAGCAGTCTTTCTTGGAATCCGTTTCAGTTTGCAGTTTGCGAGCACGCACCCCGACCGGTGCAGAAGCTGAACGTCCTTCTGTCCAAGTTGCTGCTGCCAGGCTCGTAATCTGTCATGCGCCCCTGTAACCGCCTCCTCATGCTGCTGCCAGGTCCAGAGTGTGTCATGGGCCCCCGTACCGACTTCTCATGCTGCGGCCAGGCCCGTAATCTGTCATGGGCCCCTGTACCGCGCCTCCCCATGCTGCTGCCAGGTCCAGAGTGTGTCATGGGTCCCTGTACGGCCTCCCATTGCTGCTGCCAGGCCCGTAATCTGCCATGGGCCCCCGTACCGACTCCTTATGCTGCCGCCAGGCCCGTAATCTGTCATGGGCCCCTGTATCCCTACCGCCCTCCTCATGCTGCTGCCAGGTCCAGAGTGTGTCATGGGTCCCCTGTACGGCCTCCCATTGCTGCTGTCTCTATCGCCACACGCTCTGCCATGTGGCCACTTTCAGGTCTCCTCACACTGCTGGTGGTTTCCATTTTTGTCATAGGGTGCTGTAATGGCCTCCCATTGCTGCTGCCTCCACCGCCACACTGTGGCTCCACACTCTGGTTTTGGCCCCGTGACTGCCCAAATGAGTGAAGTGTGCGGTGATTCTAAGATCGACGGCACTCATCTGCATGTCATACTGACTGACAGTTTTATTTCTCTTCCCCAGCAGACTCCAAGGGCATTTAAATTAAAGGTACAGTGTTCTGCACTAATATTAAGTCTCTCTGAAGCCTAGAAACACCCTTTTTTTTAAGTTAAATTCACAGCGAATATATTCGACTCGAATCGAAATTTTTCCACGAATTCGCCGAATCAGTCGAATCGAATTTTTGAATACTTCGCTCATCTCTACTGGGGATGTTGTATTCAGGGTGATGTGCAGTGTTAGTTTCCCACCACACATAGAGTTTTGTTTAGGTCAAAAAGTTCAATTTTGGTCTCATCTGACCAGAGCACCTTCTTCCACAGCTTTCTTCTTGCCATAAAGGCCATATTTACTGTCCAGAGTTTTCTGTCGACAGATTCTGCCACCTGAGCTGTGGATCTCTGCAGCTCCTCCAGAGATATCATGGGCCTCTTGGCTGATTCTTTGATTAATGCTCTCCTTGCCCAGCCTGTCAGCTTAGGTAGACGGCCATGTCCTGGTAGGTTTGCGATACTCTTTCCATTTTCGGATGATGGATTATACAATGCTCCAGGAGATGTTCAAAGCTTGGGATTTTTTTTTTTATAACCTAACCCTGCTTTAAACTTCTCCACAACTTTATCCCTGAATTGTCTGGTGTGTTCCTTGGCCTTCATGATTCTGTTTGTTCACTAATGTTCTCTAACAATCCTCTGAGGGCTTCACAGAAAAGCTGTATTTATACTGAGATTAAATTACACACAGGTGGACTCTATTTACTAATTAGGTGACTTCTGAAGGTAATTGGTTCCACTAGATTTTTTTTAGTTAGGGGTATCAGAGTAAAGGGGGCTGAAGACAAATGCACGCCACACTTTTTAGATTTTTATTTGTAAAAAAAATTTGAAAACCATTTATCATTTTCCTTTCACTTGACAAATATGTGCCACTTGATGTTGGTCTATCACAAAAAAATCCCAATAAAATATATTTATGTTTTTGGTTGTAACATGGCAAAATGTGCAAAGGTTTCAAGGGGTATGAATACTTTTTCAAGGCACTGTATCTCCAGTAACTTCCTGTTCTGTTTGTGATGACATCACCAAGCCCCAGCTAATGCATTTCATCACAGTCACATGCCTACCCTTTTATGCAGTTGTTATTGATCACCCTACCCTCATTTTTCGGGATGATTCAAGGACAGTGTGCTTCAATTTTTTTCTACCGTAAGAGTTTTCCCCTCTATCCCTTTAGATTTTATGCTGTGTGGGAGCTTGTATCCAGGGTCGTGACAAGGGGGGGGCAGAAGGGACATGTGCCCCAGGTGATGACTATGTGCAGGAAGGAGGCACGCTGGGAGCTGCAGCAGATCCCTGCCTCTTACTGACAGGAGTGACTGCAATGTCAGCAGGGCTTTTTTTTAGTCGGTGCTGTGGTACTTTGTACCACTACATCTCACATGAGCCCCACGCTTCCCTTTGACCGCTGTCACTTATAAACTCAGAAGCAGATTCCTGTGCTGGATTATGAGCTTACAAATGACAGGGCAGCTCAAGTGATAGCACCCCATCAGTGCAGGAGGATCAGGGAGCGTTCTGCAGCAATGGGTAAATAGCTAATGATGGGTGGTAAAGCTGGGATGGTGCTTTGTGTACTAGGGGAAGAGGGAGGAGGAGGAAGCTCTGTACTTGAGGGGAGACCTCTGTGTGCTGGGGGGAGCTTTGTGTTACTGTGTAATGGAGGGGGCTCTGTATACTTGGGGGAGGGGGAGGAGGCGGGATCTCTGTGTTCTGGGGGAAGCTATGTATACTGGGGGGGGAGTTTTGTGTTCTGAGGAGAGGGAGAGTTGGGAGCTCTGTGTACTGGGGAGACAGACCTCTGTGTACTGGGGGAGGAGAGTGGAGCTCTGTACTTGGCAGGGGGAACTCTGTGTACTGGGAGGAGTGCTGTGTACTGGGTGGGAGCTCTGTTTCCTGGGAGGAATCTGTTTACTAGGGTGAGAGGGAGGAGCTCTTTATACTAGGGGGAGAGGGAGGAGGGGGGAGCTCTTTGTATACTGAGGGTGAGAGGGAGGAGGGGGGGACTCTGTGCACTAGGGGGAGGAGGATCTCTGTGTTCTACAGGGAAAGGGAGGAGGGGGAAGCTCTTTGCATACTGAGGGTGAGAGGGAGGAGGGGGGAGCTCTGTGTACTAGGGGGAGAGGGGGAGCCTCTGTGTTCTAGGGGAGAGGGAGGAGGAGGGAGTTCTTTGTACTGGGGGAGAGGGAAGAAAAGGGAGTTTTGTGTTCTAGGTGGAGAGGGAGTTCTTTACTAGTGAGCTTTGTAGTGAGGAGGGGGGGGGGGGTCTGGGTAAAGTGAAGAACTCTATACTGAGGGTGGGGAGAAGTTATTCATTGGTGTTTCTGCCAGTGAGTCCACCAAAGCAGGGAAATATTTTCCTTTCAGTAATACTGACTGAGGGTTTTTTTTACTTCCAGTGACACTACCGATGCAGACATTTTTTCATTTCGGTGCCACCACTGACTCTGGGCCTTTTTATTTTTTTGACGATGCCACCAACTTAGGGACATTTTTCCTTCCAATAACACCACCAATGCATGGTAATTTTTTCCTTGCAGTGACACTACCTATGCAGGGACATTTTTTCCTCTTGGTGACACTGCTGAATTGTGTGCATTTTGTTTGTTTTTAGTGATGCCACCAACCCAGGGACATTTTTTCCTTTACCACTTGCCTCATATTTGTGCATGTTTTTTAACATTTTCACTGATACTACAGTATTTAAGTGCATGCCATAAACTTTCCAAACATTTTGGTGCACGCCACTACTGACCCCATCCTTTTTTCAATCCAGCAGGGCGGGTCAAGGGAGTATGGGGTTCCGAACAATGGGGGGCTGCAGTTTTCCTCTGGGTACTAGTTGACCTTGTCCTGGCATTGCTTGTCTCCATGGTTATCTTTTAAGAGATTAGGAGGTAGGGTAACATCCTTCATAATCATGGACCCTTGTTTCACTGAAGAGTAAGGCTTGCTAGACCTATGTTTTTCCTTAAGTTAAGATAATTTTTTTTTTGTTACTTGTGATTGCTATTATTATTACTATTTCCTGGGGCTAACAACTGGCATTTTGGACTCTGCCTCCCCCCCCACTTCATGCTCATGAATTTGCTATCTTCCCTGCAACAACAAGCAGATCTCAATGCTTTTCAGAAGCTTCTCTCAGACAGGTTCATTACACCAGTTCGTAATGAGGAAAATTTGCAGGGTTTCTATTTGAACCTGTGCACTGTCCTCAAGGCAAATGGAAACACTCAGCCCATTCTGGATTTGAAAACTCTCAACCTATTCATGCACATCCAAAATTGCCTCATGGAATTGGCCAGATCTGTCATCACCTCCCTTATATTTGGGGACCTTCTGGCCTCCGCAAAACATAAGGGATACTTGCTTGCACATCCAAATCTTTTCCTCCTCTGCAACATTATTTTTGTTTTGCTGTGGGCACACACCAATATCAGTTTGTCACCCCTCACTTTTGCCTGTTCAAGGCACCCCAGGTCTTCATAAAGGTACATGGCCCAGTCCTAGACCTACATCTTCCTCATGGTATTTATGTTATGGGATACCTGGATGGTCTCCTGTTAAAGAATCAATCCTCCTATACCCTTTCAGCCAATGTCCAACAGGCATGCAGACTCCGATATTTGGTTGAATCCTCAACCTGGAACTGACTCAGTGATGAGATTGCCTCGGCCAGATATTGGATTAGTTCCTGTCCAGAATCTTGCTGCCCCTGGACAAATGTCTGCTCCTTTGCTCACATGCCTGGAGCCCTCAGTCCCAGGGGTATTCCTCAATCCATTCCTGCATGAGAGTCCTGGGCCTTATGGTAGCCTCCTTCCAAGCAGTACTGTATGTCCAGTTTCTCTCTTGACCCATTGCAACTCAACATCCTGGCACATTTTGCTGGCTGGAAGCTAAAAAGAGTGGGAAATTTGAGTGGAGAGTGATAAGCAGTTTTGCCTTTGGCTGCTGGTGCTTGTAGTTGTTTTATTTTCTTCTTTGGGGTCTTGCTAGCAGCTTTTACTTTTTCATATCACTTTCTCTTTTAAAAAGCATTTTTTTTTCCTATCCTTTCCTTCAGTCTGCTGATTAAGGGGAGGGGTTAATTGGTCACAGGCACTACAGGTACTATTTAACTTTATGCAGCGCTCACTCTGAGCTTGCTCATTCTTGAGCTTGCCTGTATTTTGCTTGCTGGATCTTTGACCAAGTGGACATTTGATTAAATGGAGTTAAAAAAATGGAGTTGAAAACAGGAGATTATGACAGGAGTCTAATAACCTGTAAATGACAACTGATATTTCCTATTAGTAATATTAATATTGTAACTGTGATAATAATGAGTGATAGCAGGGTTGAAGTTTTTGTGCAGTGCAGAGTGTGCCACATGTATGTAACAATGGAGCAAGAGCTCCAGGATGGATACCACTGCAACAGCTGTGAACGGGTTGCCCTTCTGGAAGCTCACGTTAGAGATCTAGAGGAGTAAGTTGCCACACTGGGCAGAACAGACAACCTTGAAAGAGGTCTTCTGCTCTCTGAGCAAATAGCTAATGGGATTGATATGGAGGGTTGAGGAGCTAGTCAGGATTATCATGTAGGACGATGGGTTACTGTAGTGAGAATTAGTGGTAGGGGCTCACAAAAAAGGAAGGCTGGTCCTGGGTTTAAGAACCCATACAGATTTGCCAAGTTGGGTGAAGATGTGGGGGTGGCAAGCTCAGGGGTGGCAGCACTGGATGTCACAGCTATCCCTAACAGCTGGAAGGGCAGATCATGTGGGAGGGGTTGTAAGGGTAGTGCTGGAAGGCCTAGACAGTTGTTGGTAATAGGGAATTCTATAATCAGAAGGACTGATAGAATAATTTGTCGTCAGGATCGCCTCAACTGAATGGTTTTCTGTCTCCCTGGTGCCAGGGTTCGGCATGTGGTGGACCAGGTTGATAAATTACTGGGAGGGGCTAGGCATGACCAAGCTGTCTAGGTCCATGTTGGAACCAATGACAGAATACATGGAAGGTGGAGGCTCTT